CGTAAACGACGCGAAAATGAACTACTTATTATTTATTCTTTGTTATGAATTATTCTTGAAGCTTTTGTTCTTAAGGAAATTCGTATCTTATAAAATGTGCGATTTGACTGCCTCCTATGATAATACGACATTCTTTTTGTAGCCCTTCGATCAGGGGATGTCTGGCCTGGAACATCTCGGAGCAAAAGGAGCGGGCGACGGACCGGGAACGGGGAAATTAGACCCTGCTTCCTAGTGGCTCTTTCCATCTCCGAGTCCACTTTTGGAGACAGTTTCTCGATCTCACTGAAACGGACAAAACCGTCGTTGACTGACTACCTTACTGTTATTGCCGTCTGAACATAGCCAAAGGGCAGACAAAAAGATGAGTATAAGCCCCTCGAGATTGGAAAGAAGGATGGCTTAAGTGAAAGGTCGATTAATACGAATATTTGACGAGAATTAATCTTTTCGGAGAAACTCTCGGTAATGTTGTTGACGCCATCGACTTACCCTCGCACGTGTTCAGGGGACAGACCAACTGATGAACATGTCGACTTGATCAGCAGAGCCACCACTTCCTGAAGGACTACAACTGCGGCCTTAACAATACTGCGGAGTCAAAAGTGCGCGAGTAAGCCTTGTTCCTCTATTGAAAGTCATCTGTTTCATGTCTCACTTCACACTCTCATCCATGCCGACCCACCGAGCTGCGCGGGACATCGGCATAAGATTTAGCAGGTTTGGAGTTCCAGCCAATGCCATGTTGCAGAGATTACACATATCCCCCGAGAGATTGCACCATCGCCTATGCGTTGCATACATGGTTGGAAATCCACACTAGACGGGTATATGCCAGACAATCTACACCATTGCACCATTCAATACCCAGCGCACGATATATAACAATGGGCCTTGAAAAAATGCCCCAAACTACTTATATACCGAGCTTGGCACACCGATAGGCTGTAGTTGACCGAGTACCGATATATTTCGCATCTCGGCACTCGCAGTATGGCAGACAAGAAGTCGACCACTATCGAGGACCCAATCATCCAGGCGTCCGATTCCGATTACGACTATGGTTCAACACAGAAGCGCGCCTACTTCACCGGCGACACGTTTGTGTCTGGAGGAGCTACGGAGCTGTACAGGCCTATTCCAGAATATGAAGGCATTCATCGATATGACCCAACTGCCGAATGGACGGAAAAGGAGGAAAAGAAGCTAGTCAGACGGGTAAGCTCATTCCCTCTTGGCGACTTGACGCCATACTGACCTGCTTGGTGCCCTCTAGTTAGACAAGAGAATCTGCTCTTGGGTTTGCCTCATGTTCTTTGCACTACAACTCGACCGTGGCAATATCTCACAGGCTCTGAGTGATGGCATGCTTGACGATCTTGGCCTTAACACTAACGACTACAACTACGGCATGATGATCTTTTACCTCTGCTTCTTATCTGCGGAAGTGCCATCACAAATGATCTCCAAGAAGCTCGGCCCTGATGTTTGGATACCGATCCAGATGGTGACATGGAGTATCATCGGCATCTGCCAAGGGTTTGTCCAAGACAAGCAAAGCTTTTATGCAACTCGCGCTCTGCTGGGACTTATCGAGGGAGGGTTCATTCCAGATGCTCTGCTGTACCTCTCGTACTTCTATACCAACAAAGAGCTTCCGATGCGCGTCGGCTTCTTTTACTGCGCTTCCAACGGTACTTTTATTGTTGCTGCGTTCCTGGCCTATGGAATCCTTCATATGCGCTCGGTCGGGGGCTGGGAAGGTTGGCGCTGGCTGTTTGTTCTTGAGGGAACACTGACGTTCTTCATCGGCGTGGTGTCTTGGTTCTACCTACCTCCTGGCCCGACACAAACAGCTAGTTGGTTCCGTGGTAAAGACGGTTGGTTCACGGAAAGAGAAGAGGTCATCATGGTCAACCGTGTCTTGCGTGACGACCCAGGCAAGGTAAGTGAACTCAGTACCTTTACCCAGTCCAGCAACACTGACATGAGGTACAGGGAGGCATGCATAACCGTCAAGGTCTTACGCTCAAGCTCCTCTGGGATGCACTCATGGACTATGACCTTTGGCCACTATACATGATCAGTTGGACCATGCTGATTCCCACCAACCCCGTCACTGCCTATCTTACCCTCAACCTCAAGGCCTTGGGTTTCGGCACATTCGAGACGAATCTTTTGACCATTCCTGGATATGTTCTTTTCCTGGTGCATTTGATCCTTATCTCTTGGTACTCGGAGAAGATCAACAACCGAATGGCCATTTTGCTGTACTATTCCTTTTGGTGTTTTGTGTTGCTCTTGACTCTCGAGCTGCTTCCCGCAAACGCTAGCCCTTGGGCATGGTATTCAGCAACAATCTTGATGATTGGCTTCCCCTACATTCACTCAATCAATGGTGAGGACAAGACATTTTTTTTTTCTTTCAGTTCTTCTTTGACTGACAGTTCTGCAGTTAGTTTGACATCGCGAAACGCTGGTTCTGTTCGCACCAGAACAGTGGGTAGTGCCATGTACAACATGATATGCCAGGCCAGCTCTGTAATCTCATCCCAGGTCAGTCCAAGTCCCCATTCATCGCTATCTAGTACAAAGCTAACAACAAATACAGATCTATCGTGATGATGACAAGCCTTTATACCGACGGGGAAACAAAGTTCTTCTTGCGCTCGTTGGTTGGAACGTGGTGATGACTGTTTTCATAAAGGGATACTACATATGGCGAAATAAGACGCGAGAACGCATTTGGAGTGCCATGTCGGATGAAAAGAAGGATGTGTATCTAAGAACGACCAAAGATGAAGGCAACAAGAGGCTGGACTTCAGGTTTGCGCACTAATGTTAGAGAATGCCAACATAGAAAAGAACCAGACCTCCCATTTTGGAGTACAAACCGTGAGATTCCGAAACCATCAACCGAGCTTGATTGGCACCTATCATAGCCCCAATACCGAAGGCATGGGTAAATAACACAAAAAGGACCGTTATTCCCCATGTTCACATGTCAGAACAGTAATCAGACCGAGATACTTTCATTTTTGCTCATGATCCCGAACAGAACTACGCGTGTCCAGGTGCATTGTTCGAAAAACACCGGATACTGTGCTCTCTCACCTTTATTCAAAATGGACAAACTAGAAAACAATAACTCTCATTTAACAACGGTCTTTCTTATTGGTGACCAGAAAGAAACAAAGGAACAAGCTAAGAAACCCATGCAGGACCTGTGAACACCTTATATCAGATCCCAATGCACGACACGGAACTGGAGAAATTTCATAGTATAATAAGGGCCCAAAACTCGCCTCCGGGTTCTTCGTTTCTACTCATCTCAGTTACCCCTCTCCAACCTTTCTAGCTAGAATCAACCAACCACTTCTACCAACTTCAAAAACGATTTTCGGCCCCAGACACCGAAATGGAGTCTATTTGGAATAAGTATAGCGACGACAGAGCAGCCGTCATTGAAGATGCGTTCACGATCACAATGAATCGTGGTCAACAAGAGTGGTCAAACGCTGACAGAGACGCCATGAGTCAAGCAGTTGATGATATTGTGTTCTCTCTTGGAGGAGCAGAGGGCTTGACATTCGTGGAATTTGAAGTTCTGGTTACGTATGCTGCTCGCGTCGATCCGAGAAGCCAGCTCGGCTTCCTCGACAGCGTGTCCGATACCATCCGGGCTTCTCGTAGCCCTGAAGCCTTCTCAGAGTATGATGAACGATTTCTGAACTTTGTTGTGGGCATCCACAACGGACTCACCGTTGCACGTGGAGCCAACCTGGGCTTGCTTGTCCCACCACCTTTGGCAGATGCTAACCTTGCCCAGCATGTTCTTTGTCAAGGGCCGCCTCCCGTTAACTCCATGCAATTTCCAAGCTGCGATACCACTCGTACTTGGAAGTCTGAGTATGAAGAGGTCAGCGGCGCAGGTAAGTACACCAGTTCGGTCGTTGAGACTGTAACTGGTGATGCATTCGTGTCCGGAGGTGCTTATAGCACAACGTCGACGACCTCAAGTTATTTCACCCCCTCATGCACCCCCGTGCTTGGAATCCGTGAGGCTTCGGTTGATATCAGACAATCTGTCGAAGACTTTGCAGAGTTGACCCCTGAGACTGGATTTGGTGGTTTCTAGAGCACCTTGGAAGGCATGCCGGGCTTAAGAACCGAGTCGGATGCCCCAGGAGCTCTATCTATCAGTGCTTGGGGTGAAGGTAGTTCAGGTGCTGGTTTATAAGAAGGCTTCAAGTTTTGGATGGCATGAGTTTGAGAATACGACTGTAGAAATGGGTACATAACAAGGTAAGTTTGGACACGATTTGCTTTTGCTTTTGCTAGAACTGTCAGAAGCCTTAGAAAAGAGACAAATATTACTTTTATTGGATCATGGCCCTTATGTAAGCCTCGACTTCGTCTTTCGTGAATTGCGTGACAGCCGCTCGGATGGTCGATGGACTTGGCGACCAGGACAAGACCCGATAGTTCTCACATTACTAGACCGTAACGAGCATTCTACAAGCTGAACAATGAATTACCGTAATAACGACAGATTATTGTATAGATATTGGTATTTGACTTCTGCAATGTGTTCGTAATTGTTAGGTGCGTCGTTTCAGTAACCGAAAACAGCCAGATCAGAGACACCATGTCTAATTGTACAAGTCTGCAATTGGCTAGCACCGAACCTAATTGTGCCACTTGACTTGAATAACCATTAAATCAATGCTATCCGGATAGCTGCATCGAATTGACGACCGACGATGGCATAAGACGCAAACAGTATGAATGGGAGCCATGTCTCGGATGCTAGCAGCTGGGGATCGGAACAAACCAATGCCGCAAAGTAGTTCGGTATCCTCTAGACGACCAGATGCGATACATTGAGTAACATGGAGATGAACATAAGTAGAGATCTCCTCAAGATCTACTTTTCTTACATTCCAAAACCCCTCTCCACTGCCACTCGCTTTCTTCACTAACATCAACTTCATGACACAATGAAGTCCACGGTCGCTTTCTTTATTGCCCTTGCTGGCCCGGGTTCTGCACGCCTTTACAAGCGCGACGAATGCGCAACTGCATGCACTGATGCATATAATTCATGCCGAGTTGAGCCGGATTCCAGTCAAGCATTTTGTGCGGAGGACTACGAAAGATGTCTGGGATTTAATCCATTCCTGGGCTCGAACTCAATCACAGCCCCGACAGCCTGTTCTAGAGGCGCTACAGGTGCCTCAAACACGGCAGCTGTCGAGTCGACCGCTGTTGCCAACACGCGCTCAAGGGTTTCCAGCTCATCAGCACCCGCATATGGAGGGAGCTCATCTTCTCCTATTGGCATTGACACCACGACTCCTGCTGTTAGTACAGACACCAGTATACCTGAAACATATGACTGTGTTACCGAGTGTAACGATGACTATAACACGTGTCGCACCGCACCAGACGCCAATATGGCCAGCTGTGCCGCACAGTACGCCCAATGTCTCGGGTACAACCCTTTCAATGGAGGGGGATCGCTAGTTACTCCGACTGCTTGCTCTGTCCCTGCTTCCGTCACCCCTCAAGTTACTCAGTCGAGCTCAAGTCAGCAACAATCACAGATGGCTTCAAATTCTGAAACTTCTCAACCTGATACAAGAGCTGGACTGGCAACATCGTACCAACAACCAATAGCCACTTGCGATGCTGGTGCATGTATGGGGGGTACCACAACCGATGGTGGAACACCAGGGATGGCGACTGAGTCCCCGGTAATTGTTGACTCGGCTGGAAGTATTAAACCTTGGATAAGCCTTGTGGCTATGGCAATTGCTGTTGCACTCTAGGGCTGGGCACAGAACTACCTGACATAGACTCCGGTCTTGTATTCGCCTTGCTAGAGCATGAAGCTGATAGGAGGAAAACATAGAACGTAACTCTTGTACCTCCTTCGGGGCAATGATATGCCTCTAATGCGTGGTGCTGAGACGGGTCGCCATGGTGGACGCATTAGAGCTTCTTATGCCCCCTGCAGGAAGGCATAAGCGTCATATGCTATGGTTTTTCTTTTTATCAGCTCTACGCTGTAGCAAGGTGAATACAAGAGCGTGATGTGTGGTTGGGAGTTCATAAGCATTACACATAACTTAACACTGTATTCATAAGAGCTATCCAATGCACAATCTACATGTACAGCTCTTCGTTTCTGTTGCCCAGTAGGCCTTTTCCCACGCTGCTAATGAATTTTAAGTGACAACCTTTCTGCCTTCGTCCAGTGTTGTATCGCATTCTTCAAAGGGAAGACCTCTTGGCGGGGAGCGACTAGACCTTCAGGATGGCATATTCCACATAGGAACACTCAACCGCTGTCCACGGGTATTCTCCTATCTTACAGGGACACAGAGGGAGAAGTAAGGTTCTCCCGAAATATCGAGACCTGTCGTCTGTCTCTCGTGTTTCTGGGCTGATTGTGTTGAAAGCTGCAAGCTCAATGTCAGCCTTTGGCACTGTGAGTTATGCAGGAGCATGCATGGTGTTTTGCTCGACTAGTGTCGGCTTGTTCTCTGAACGCACTTCCTATGTCATATGAGCCTTCAAATCGGTGTAGGATTCGACTCGGGGAGGTTGCAGCCTGTCGTCATCTTGTTCTGGTTGGTCGGGGCCTGTAATGATCCATATCTGAAAGGGTTTGGTCATGCTTTGCAGTTCAGAGAACCAATCAATCTATTGTTCCCTTGACCCAAGCTTTACAAGTATGGTTGCAAGAGACTTTTTCACTCGTTTGTCAGGGTCTATTACTTCGTTGATGCTGGTCGCAGAATAGAAAGATACGAGAAGTTGTCACTAGCAATTTCGAAATGGCTCGGCTCAGTGAATCATCGCTTCCACGAGACAAATAGACAATTAGTTAGACACCAACGCTCATGCTGTGTTATTGGCTGAACATAGTCGTTGATGATGACCAAGAATTGTATTTCTGCGCTGCCCCATCGTCTTTGTTCGTATTGATTGTTCCATACTCAGGCAAGTCAGATCCACGGCCTGCAAATACCATTAATCAGCTGGTGGAGACAAACAGCGGAAGACTAACCGTAACGAGCAGTATCTCATCAGCAGTCGATCCCTGAGCAGGCCTCACCATCCGCAAACAACGTTGCGCTTACCATAGCAGAGGATCAGCAAATCTTTTCCCCATGAAACCAGCGATGAGCCGGATAGGATTGACGCGATACGAGGTGAAAGCCTGCAAGGCCTGTCAATCGTCCAAGAGGAAGTGCACCAAGCAGCAGCCCAAATGCCGTCGTTGTGACCTTCGCGGCTTGGACTGTCTCTACGAGCCTTTACCCAACACCTTTGTCTACCAAGCTACACAGAACTCCGGGGGACAAGCTTTTCCGTTGGCAGCCTTACCAGAGCCGGAGTTGTTGCAGTCAGGCCAAGACGATAGTTGGTCTGACTTGGTAGACGTAGGAGTGAACAGTCGTATAGACCATCATGGCACTCCGGGTACTATCTCTTTAGAAGACCTGAAAGTGGCTTGGTTTCTTGATCCAGAATCCTGGAGGGCAGTTCCGATCCGAGAATCAGATAGGGCACATCTAACGACGGACATGATCCGGGGGCTTCTGTACCAAACAAGAGACTGGCTGGAGAATTGGACAAAAAGCGGAAGCAATGCGTTTGTGCATCATGAACTTTACAGAAATAGTCTCCCCGACTGCATCAGCGACGCTTTCGCAGCACTGTCTTCGTATTTGTCAAGGACATCGGAGACCAGTGAGATGGTGCTCCGGATTACAGAGCAGAAGGCGGAGAGGTTATTGGTGTCTGAGGGCAATAGAAACACAGCTGGAGACATTCTTAGCAGCCTAAGTCGTGTACAAGCACTCCTGGTCTATTGCACGATCCGACTACTGGACGGTGATCTACACCAACGTCACAAGGCGGAACAGCATCTTCAGACCCTGCAGGATTGGACAAAAGAAATGATGAATAATGCTCTTGAGGCTACGAATAACGGAGACATGATTGTCAAGAACCATCTCACGAATGTAAGCCCTCAATATTTCACATTGCCGCTGCTTTTGGGGCAGTTCTCTCCTGAGCAGCTACTCTGGCATTCGTGGGTACTGTCAGAGTCTATTCGAAGGACATGGTGTGTATCCATGGGCCTTCAATCAGGCTATGAACTGCTGAAGACTGAATCAGGTCCCTGTTCCGGGACCTTACCCATCACCACGAGAAAGGGGCTTTGGGAAGCGAGGTCGGCGTTCGCCTGGACAAAAATGTGTGCGGAGAGCAACATTGGCTTTATGTGCAGGAATGATCATGAAAAGGTCATGGTGGATATGGAGCCCGGACATATTGACGACTTTGCGTTATGTATGATGGAACTCGATATTGGTCCCGACAGGATGGCTAGATGGAGATCTGAACGCTCGGGGTGACATGAGAGGAATCAAAGGATTTCGGATCAGCCTCTAGACAAGACGTAAAGGCATAAGTAGGATAAGGGGTAAAAGATAGGTGATGTAAGTTTAGCGGATTGTTCCGCTCCAGCTTGCGGATTGCTTTGTTATCACGCCCCGCGGATCCGCAACCCTCCGCTGGCTGAGTCAACAACATGAAAGGAATGCATCTATCAAGAATTAAATATTTAAACACGAGGACACCAGCCGTGCTTAACCACATACTTCTTCATCTCAACTCCTCATTTCCAGACCCTCAGAACAGCCCATCATGGCAAGGCAGTGGATTCTCAACGACCAGCAGGGCTTTGAGACGTCGCTCAAGTATGAGACCAAAGTTCTCATTCCGCCAAAAGATGAGCTAGGTCCAAGTGATGTTCTAGTCAAACTCCATGCAGCCAGTCTCAACTATCGAGACCTCGTCATTGCTGCATCGGCTGTATGTATCTAGATGTCCAAAGTTGTTGACGTTGACATAAACTGACAAAACTTAGCAATTTGGCCCCATCACCCCACCAATGGTCCCTCTATGTGACGGAGCAGGCTCAGTCGAAGCTGTTGGCTCTTCTGTCAAAGGCTTCAAACTTGGCGATCGAGTCATCACTTTCCCTGCACCAGACGTGGTGGTGGAGAGAGGTAGTGATGCTGATGTCAACATGTCAGATGTACCGACCATGCTCGGCTTGGGTACCAAAGGAACGCTTCGTACGCATGGAGTATTCTCGGAAGGCGCTCTTGTTCATGCGCCCGAGTCTCTCGATTGGCTTCAAGCTGCCACTCTCCCCGTCACCTGGATCACAGCTTGGAACGCTCTCGCGGAACTAGGCAAAGACCAAATTGGACCACACACCTGGGTCCTGGTTCAGGGAACTGGAGGTGTCAGTGTAGCGACCCTGCAACTCGCATCGTCCTTTGGACTCACCGTCGTGGCGACTACTTCATCTCAAGAGAAGGCAGAGAGGTTGAAAAGACTTGGTGCGACTCACGTTGTCAACTATCGCGAGAATGCTACTGGTTGGGGCAAAGAGGCACGATCTTTGACACCTAATGGAGCAGGCTTCGATATGATCGTAGATATTGGCGGTGATAAGACACTCGAGCAGTCACTCGAAGCAGTGCGCCCTTATGGGTCTATCCAAGTCGTTGGTGCTGTTGCGCAAGACGCCGAGGTCGTTCCCATGATGGGGGCTCTAATGTTCACGTGCACTATTCGTGGGTTTCTTATGGGTAGCCAGAATCAGTACAAGGATCTTGTGCGATACATCGATGAGAAGAAGCTCAAGCCTGTATATGATGACACGGTCTTTGAGTTGGCAGATGCCAAGGAAGCTTACAGGAAGCTGAAGGAGCAGAAGCACTTCGCGAAGGTCGTCATCCGCATCGACTATGACTAGATCTGCTGCTGGGAGAATGAGTTGGAGCTTTTAAGAAAAATCAGGTTCTGAATACTTTGGAATTACAATTATTTATCTAAGAATATATCTATGATCATTGAATCATATGAGAGTTGTTGTTCCATATTAAGTGGTCATTATCGAGATGTAAGAATACCGGCTTTCTCTCTTCAGTGACTGTTTATTAGATGGTAGCTGACCCATGTCTTAGTCTTCAAAACGCTGATTGCCACGGTCTTGGCTCTTGAGGTCAATCTCCTCAAGAAACATTGACGTCAGCAACCCCAAAGCACCCAATCCGGCCATTGTGTAGAAGATCGTGCGAAAACATTCGAGGTAGACTCTTAGCACTTCAATAAGTTTTGTCGGAGAAATTCTCAAGGTCCTGAGTTCTTTAATAAAAGCAATGGCGTTGGATGCATCCTCCAAAGGTGCCAGAGGCCCCGCAAGTTGCAACGAGCTTGAGGCGATGGTCTTTGCAAAGACAGTGTTGAATATTGCAGAGGCGACGGTCAGACCGATCAAACCTCCAAACATACGAATCGTGAGAAACTGCCCGATTGCAACGCCTGTATCATCGACATTTTTAACGCTGGCTTGCATCGGTAGAAGATTGAGTCTTAGAAGAGCAACACCTGTTCCCCATATCACAGGGATTCCGTAGAGCATCGATGAAGGCGAACTGAGATTTAAGATTGCCAGAATCCCAGTACCGAGAGCCAACAAGGCCCATGAGAGCCTCAGTAGCCAGGTATAGCCTCCAAATAATGGTACCATCATCATAGAGATTACTGCGATGAACACGCTAATGATAGACGTTGGCAACAGGAAGACAGCTGACTTGATCGGCGTTTCCAGATACACAGCTTGATAAATCAGAGGCAGATACTGAAGTAACGAAACGAGGATGGCTCCGTGAATGAACCCTCCAAGCAATGTCATGTTGGCAGTGACGGAGTGGAACAGCCGATGAGGCATGATTGG